TGTTTTGTTTGGAGGTCTAGAGGGGTTGTTGAGCTCGGATTCTTAACACAATTATTGATTGCAACAGGTGATCTATTACGTTACCTAGGTATTTTGTATTTGTTTGGAGGTCTGGAGGGGTTGGGAAAGGGGTTGTTGAGCTCGGATTCTTACTTTCCCCTACTACTATATTATATATATATATATATATATATATAAATATATATATATAATATATAATATATATATATATATATATATATGTATGTGTCTATCTATCTAAATATCTATATGTCTATCCATCTAAAGATTGGGAAGATGAGCAGGCAGAAAGATTGCCGAGGCTGTACTCCTAAGTATAAGCGTTTAATCGACATAAATACTTTCTAGAGTAAATTGTTTTACCTTACAGTTAGGCTGCTTAAATTCTCTAGGAATGAGTAAAATTAAGGATCTTCTGGTGGCTTAACCCACCCCCACATAAATACATGCACACGCATGCACAGACATATGCACACCGACATAAGTGATGCAGATACTATATTCTAAAATTATAGGCAGACTAAACTACAAGATTTCCATAAAAGTAGAGAAAATGGTCTGTCAAAAGGCATTGGGTCCAAGCAAATTTACTGATAAAGGATTTTAAATTTCGTGACAAATTTTGATCACTATATTTCTACAGTGATTGCAAATAACGATAATGGTTATCAGAATTCTCAGCTGTTGCTCTGGCGGCTTACAAGTTAGAGTCCAGGGCTGATGTTAGCAGATATTGCCGTGAGGTTACCAACGTATGCGAGTGTGTGGCGTTTTCAAGGTTGTGTAAATAATTAAAGGGACATAATTGATATATATAAAGAGCATATAGGAATATATTCCGTCAGCAACTAGCTAAATTCCAATTTCCTCAAGAAAGAAAAAAATAAAGAGAAAGAGGGAAGTTACAAACCTAAATACAAGCTAATAATTGGTTATGACTACAATTCAACGGTAGTCAACCGACGCGGAAACATTAATATTGAATCCCTTTTAGGTACATGAATCATGCAAACTTTTTTTTTGCTTTCCTTTGGGAAGGGGGGGGGCGTTGTTGGCCGTGCTTTCTTCTGCGTCTAATTTGGCTTAAAAAATTAAACTTCTAGCGTGAATATTTTAGATAGCATTTACCTCTTGAGTGTGCAAAAGCTTTAGTTTTTTTAGATAAATGATATGCAATAGTCTAAACAATATCCTAACTTTGGAGTAATAATATTAGTATCCCCATACTATCGAGTTTAAATAAAGCATTACATGAGGGTTGTGCTTTTATCTGTTCGTTAGTACAACAAAACTGTCCTGGTTGAATGAAGCTACTGAAAAATGAAAAAAAAAATCATACAATAAGAAAGGAGATAGACAAATGTGTGTGTGTTTGTGTGTGTGTGTGTGTGTGTGTTTGTGTGTGTGATTTAGATTTCTAACGCAGCTTTAACAAATTTTCAGTCCTATCGCTACGATGTTTGCATTGTGACAGTTTATATTCATGTCTAGAACTGGGGCATCATGCCGTAGACATGTCCCACCCAGTCACACTATCCTGACCCCAGTCAGACCAGTCCTAATACTCAGCTCTGAATTTTGGGTAGCTTTTATTACCATTTTATAAGTCTTTGGTATGACTCGACCGAAGTTCGAACCCGCGACCTCCCGCATCCGAGGCGGACGCTCTAACCACTAAGCCACCGGGGTGGTGTTGATATAGACGAAGATAAAGGACAGTGAGAATTATATCAACAATACACATCCAGTTGATTTATATTGACTTGCAACCTTCGCTACTTCAACGAATCTGTGCTGCAAATGGAAAATGAACTAGGAAATCCATATGCAATTGGAATACTCTGCTCTTGTCATTCATTTTGAGTTAAACAGTGTACTGCGTTGAATATTTCAAATTACGATTTATACGACAGTTGAACATTGATTATAAGAGACAGCTAAGGTCATTTCTTTCAAAATGTCTGGTTTTAGACACTGAAGAAAACGAAGTGCAAGACCATATTTGTGTAGGAATAAGGACAAATTCTCCAGGTTTTTACAGTGAATCGGGCCGGATGAAATGTTGGAATTAACACCATCGGAAATACGTTACTCGCAGGATAGCATTAGCTGCGTTTTCACTGGTCGTCATCGCGGAAAGAGGATTGGTGAAACGTTGACGAACTTGTCAATGGCTATATTAGTGTGGATGATATTCCTACCATTGCGATGATTTTTAGAAATAGAAAGTGGTATGCTTATGATAATCGACGTTTGTGGTATTTAAGCATTTCGAACTTCTAGGGTTGTACTCAAATATCGGGTCACCGAAAGAACCTATGGGATGAGGCTAAATATACAACATATGATGAAGGAAAGAGCATCAGAGTAAGGGGAGAACCAGAAGGTAATTGGTACTACAAATACATCAGGAATCCTGAGAAATACAAGAACTATCTTCAACATCAGAACTACAACAAATACAATGACTCACGCTATGCAGATAGTTTCAGACTGGATCTGTCAATAAGCAGTCGTCAGAGAACCTTGGGTTTGCAAGCTCAGAATGACTGGAGAGACGATACAGAACGAACCAGGATTAAAACAAACACTGATACATCTCATGGCTTATATGGCTCCCAGCAGCAGCCGCTCTTTGGATACCACAAAAATGAATCTACTGACAAAATGGTTTCCTGAAGAACATCAGCCACAGCAAAGACAATTCCGAACAATTCACCGTCATCATTTTTTCACAGCCACATTAGTAGCCCACGTTCATCTAGTAGAGTGGAAACACCGAGCCATATTTCACAACAAACTCTATCAGTTGCATCCTCGTACCAAAATTATTACCAGTCAACCTCGGAGAAAAGTTTGAGGAATATTAGATCAATTTCGGTCTTTATCCAATTCAGACTTTTCAGAACTTGCAAAAGGAACAAAAAGCAATCCCTTAACCTATGATAGTTCTGAAGTACAGCCAGTTTTTAAAAGTAGACCTTCAACATTAACCACAGGCCTGAGAAGCATCTAAAGTGTATATGGTAGAACTACAACACCCGCCCCTACCTCAGAAACTTCAGTTTCATCTTTGTACCAAAAACACGGTTCGTTTATCTCGGAAAGAAATTTGAAATATACACCACAACCATCAACATTAACCAGCTCAAATTCTTCAGCAGGAGGAGACAGTCCCATAACCGGTGAAAGTGGTGTCTCCATACCTACTGGCAGAAGCAGAGACAGTGTTACAAGCGTAACAAACAGTTTCGAAAGAAAACCAGCGAGTAAATCAATTTTATATTCAGCCTCGTCCAACCCAGTTCAATGTCAAGAAGAAAACAAAGAAGTGAATCCATGCAGACCTATGACTGCATTTAAGTCATCACTGCCAGCAACGGAAACTGCAGATTTTGAACTCCTCGCACAAAAGACCCAGTCGAAACTAAAACCGGCTTCTAGACAAGCTTTCGTTAACATTATTAATGTATATCAAAACCAATGTAACCCCAAAAGGCCCGTTTTGGTAATGCTGGATCCATCCATAATACGATACACAAAAGACTCAATTGAATACCCACTTAGTGAAGAAAGATTGTCTGCAGTACAGCGTCGACTTCGACAACTTCTACTGGATGAAAACCCTAGACCTATGGAGGTTTACAAGGCTTACATTTTATACTGGATAAAGGAGGAAAACGATGTACTTTGGTCACTACGAAAGCTAATGGATGATCACGCAAAGTGGGGAAGAAAAACATGCAAAGTATAGGCTCATGTCACCGAAGATAATGATGCCTTTTTGGACGACATGCGCAAAGAGAAACCTTGGCTCCAAATCAGTGACATCTTGCAACTCGGACAAAGAATTGATCTATCAATTTAATCGTCATAACCAGAATTGGATGTATAACTTGCTTTACGCGTTGTAGAAATTAGTTAACTAAGTATCATGCTCGACACATTTCACTTCAACATTATCCGGATAAGTAAGCGAACTTTACAGAGACAAAGAAATATTAATATTACAGGATGACCAGGTTTGTAGAATTTTCCTCATAGTTAGTCATATGTAGAGATAAATAATTTGTATTTCACAAAATTCTTAAGTATCATAAATACATACTTGGTATTGTTTTCGTGTCCTTCCATCAACAATAAGTTTTTACTTAAAAATATCTCTAACTTAAAGCAGACGGAAGGATAAATTACGGAAATGATAAGTTTTGTCGATCTGTTGGTTTGGGGGATTGGGGTGGGTTGGAGATTGTTATGTCTAAATATTTCTATATTGATTTGTTTTAAAGGATGATCACCCTCCTCAAATCTGGAAATAACATTGCAGAATTTTCGCAATATCCGTGTAGTAAACCCATAATTGCGAGAGACAAAAGTACTGAAGTGTAGGTAATTTAAGATTTATTTTGTGAGCCATAGTCAGATTCAAATGAAACTTACTTAGACAATATATACCTTTCCCTCTTCCTTAAATATGTATTTGATTTTTATCCAGAACTGCTTTTAATAAACAAAGTTAACAATTATATTGTTGTATAATATATATTTGGGGATAATTTCGTAAATTACCATACCGTTAAGTTTGGAATTATATTCCTTTGCACACATGAACATATTAATGAAACCAGTTGTTAAATTCACGTGAAAGGCAATTTTTTTTTTCATTCCTTTCCTTCGCTTGATTCGACACTGTATATATCGGAAGCAGACGACATATGTATGTACATACTTAGTGGCGCATGCACCCTATTGCTTAAAATGGACTTGTCCAGGAACTGGAAATGGGTCTTATGCGTGTCCGTCTATAATATTGAAAACCTCCGTTCAGCATGAAACGCGCAGTTAATGACGGTGTTAACGCCATTCTGCTCACAGTCTGTTTAGAAAATATAAATCAATGAATGAATTGACTAAGTTATTTGCACTTTTTATCAAATTGAAGGTTTCTGTTATTGAAATCCGCAGTTGGGGGGTACACACTAACGGGTTATTAGGCTCGGTATATAATATAATCTGGAAACAACTCTATATTTTGTTTCTGTGGAAAATCATGCCATATGAATTCATTTATTTCGCTAAAATTTTGAAGTTTTATATTAAATGACTTGGAAATTAAGGATGGTGCATTATAAGTATACAGTTGTACCCCATTGCATTTTATCTTTATGATGCGTGTATTTCCGAATTCTTGTATTTCAAGTATGGCATTGAATTTCAAGCTGAAATGGCAACATTTGCCTTCATCAAAGCATATATAAATATAATTAAAGTACCACACCAGTGTAGATAACCCTAATAAAATAGAATATTATTTGAATAGAAAAAAAAAATCTGGAAGTGGTATTTAAAAAAAAAACAGATGGAAAAATTCGCCATAATAACTGAGAAACACGCTAAGCTGTGTTTTCGCAATTAATGCACATCTGACCGATTTTATCGCTAGGTAATTTTCGGTGTGTGAAGATTGCCTGACGTCACGTTTTGAACACAACTTCCGTTTCTATCAAAATATAAACAAATCACGTGTTCATCTCCATATTAGTTTGTTTGAAATGTTTTATCATCATAATCATGCCAAGAGGAGATCGTGGTGGTTTAAGCATGGGTAGTGGGGTTAGGTGTGTTGCAGCAAGCTATGGAAATACAAATGTTGATAGGTTTTCTATGCATTCCTTCCCGAAAGACCAGGCACTTCGACGTAGGTGGACAGATTTTGTAAAAATCAAAAGAGCAAACTGGGATGGTCCTACTGAGTTTTCTGCCCGCTGATCCTTTCGTTTCACACCAGAACGCTTCCGATTTAGGTATAGATTTCAGGTTGAGCATATGGGTATAGAGCACCAAAGAAAGTCAAACTTGATGACGATGCAGTTCTTCTATCCACTCTGTAAAGGAAACTGACAATCAACCCAGAGTTACTGCACATGTATCTGAACCTTTAACGCCAAAGTATCAACTATGTAGACTTGAAATTTTGTCACCATCAGAGGAAGTAACTTGTCAAGTGTCACCACCAAAGAAAATAAGAAGGAGCTATTCCAAGAGAGAAGCAGCAAGGGTGAGTTTTTAATGACAAGTATCATATTGTTTTATCTGATATTCAACAGATCAGTCACCACATCATTTCCATTTGTACCATGTAGAACGTTCTTTCATAGTTTCCCAAACAAATATAGTAAATATCTAATATATCAAGAACTGAGATATGAACATTTGATAAATATTGTCAAAAATGTCATGTTGACTTCAAATTTATATTACCATGTGAAAAGAAAATTCTGCTGGTATATTTAGAAGGCCTACATAAATATTTCATTGTCAGACTAATGTGTGAATCAGTTTACATATAGATGTTGACAAAGATGAAGAGGTTTATTCCCATTGCCAATTAATAAAAATCTTACAAACAAAATTTATTAGAAAGTTGGCAATATATGATATTTTAGGAAGTTTTAAGTTGTATCATAACTGTTATTTTTTGGGGAAGTAACTGAATAGCCATCAGTATAAGTGACTGAAAAATGTTCTCTAATAATATATATTGTGTTTTATATTATGCTGCACATCAGGAACAATGTTCACAACAATCAGACAGTGAGACAACTCAGGATAAAAAATTAGAAAATACATTTGACAACATGAAAGAGGTACATACAATTTTGCTTCATTGTATATATATATATATATAT